TCCCAGGATGGGAATGGCTGGGGGTGGGGGGTGGGGTCAATTGGGGAAAAAGGAGACATATGTAAAACTTTAGACAATTAAAAAATGATAATAATAAAAATAAAACGTGTCATGTTACTGTTTTGCAGGGAGTCCCCAAGTCATCCTTCCTGACCGAGGAGAAGAGAGCCAGGCTGAAGACCAACCCTGTGAAGGTACACTTCGCTGAGGAAGTGCTCGTCAGCGCACACAGCCAGGTGCGTCCTGGGCAGGGCATTGAAGTGACTCTGTGTGAGGCTGGTGAGCTGCCCTCTTGCACACAGCAGCCTAAGACTGTGGAATCCCACAGCACGGAGAGGATGCAGAGGGCGTGCAGTGGGTTTGCTAGAGGCTCTGTGCACCCCCAGTAGCACTCATGGGGAGAGTTCTCTCTGGGGGCTCTGGGAGGGGACCAGGGAGAAAAGCACTGGGTGTGGCTCTCGGTTATTCCATGGCACCATTCTCCTGCTCATGAAATTCAACAGATCCCAGCTGTTAAGTTCTGCTTTTGAGTCTTTAAACTCAGTATTCCCTCCGAAGGTGATATACAGTGGTAGTGATCATGGTAGTAGGAATGGCTTTTTTATTTTTTAAGAGCCCATCTATTGACTCTCTATTGTGTGAACCTAAACTGTTTGTGTACATAATCCTTAGTCACCACAATACTCTGCAAGGGAGGTATTGTAACAAAAGAAGAAGCCAAGGCTTAAAGAGGTTAAGAGAATTAACCTCTGAGATCACATAGCAAAACAACAACGACAAAAAAAAAAAACACCAACAGGAGGCCAGGCCTCTGTGACTTCCGTTCTTTTGTGTTCTACCATGACATGCTGTTTAGTTCCTTTGATATGAGGGGAACCAGGGTTGCGGGGTTCAGAAGACATATTAGTAAGAGAAATATTGGCCGGAGTTTGATGGTTTTTAATGTTGGACTGTTAGATAAAAGACTCATTTATTCATAAGCTACACATTTCCCTCCAGTAGTCTGTAGCTTTTGCCATTCTGAATTCAGCGACCACTATTAGATTTTGAAATTTCCAGGTTAGAGCTTGTCCTTATCTTCTCGCATAGAGACCAGCAAGTGGGGAGTCCTGGCCATTTAAACAAGAGATCCAGGTGATCAGGTTCACATCTGCAGAGCCCTTATTTTCTGCATGTCCTGCTGCCTAACAGACCACACTGCGTTCGACCTGAGAGGGAAAGGTGGATTTGTTCAGGAAAGGGCCCGTGGGAGGCCCAATGCATTAATCAGAAAAGACCCGAGATCTGTCACTCAGCAATATTCGAGTCTCTGTGTGTTCACATTTATGAAAATGAGTTGAACCTCTTCATCACATTAAATTTAGATTCAACATGTGATGTTGTTTTAAAAGTAAGATTTCCTTCTCTTTTTTTAATGATTTCAGAGAAAGGAAGGTCAAGGGAGAGAGAGATAGAAACATCAATGATGAGAGAGAATCATCACTGATGGGCTGCCTCCTGTACACCCCCTGCTGGAGATCAAGCTCACAGCTGGGCTTGTACCCTGACCAGGAATCGAACTGTGACCTGGTTCATTGGTCGATGCTCAACCACCAGCCGGGCTCAACATGTGTTTTTAAGAGTAGTACACAGTGATGAGACGTAGGGGCTAGAACCCACTAACAACCCTGGTTCCAGCTTGGATCTCAGTGACTCTAGATAGAACCTCTCGCTGGTTCTGGAGGACGCTAGCCCCAAGGACGCTCTTTATTTGCACTGAACACTCAGAGGTCAGTTGTTATGAGAGCTGGCCCTGGGGCATTCTCCAAACCCAAAGGGAACATCCCCTGCCCTGCTCCACCTCGGGAATTCTGGCTGGCGTGGGGTCCCCAAACACTGACCAGGCCTCTGCCTCCTTTCCAAAAAGCCCTCCGAGAGTGGCGATTCCTTAGGAGGTCCCAAGAGTATGGGGTGATGGTTGGGATGAGTGGAGGCAGAGAGCAGCCCTCTGCCCTTTGGTGATGCTTCCCTACAGGGAATATTGCAGTGAAACGGGGCAGGGGGTGAGGGGGTCTCAGGGGTTTCACTCCAACCTCACCAGGAGCAGGAGCAGGAGCAGGAGCAGGAGCAGGAGCAGGAGCAGGAGCAGGAGCATGTCGTACCTGCAGCAGGCAATAAACAGGAGGAACTCATCTCATTGTACCTGCTTGTCATCTGACTTGTTAAACTGCATCCCCTAAGGATGGCAACCAGCAGTGAGGTGTCAGCTGATGATTCTGGTGCAATGCTATCAGTATGCCCCCAATTCTCGGGTCCCACGTCTCTTGAACAAATCGAGCCTGTCTGTGTGGCATAGGCCTCGCCCATTGGAGAAATCTCCCGATGCAGGAATCACGCCGTGGCATGAGGAGGAGGCAAGGGAGGACTTGTTCTCCGCACCACGCAGGGCCGGAGGAAGGAAGGGCTAGTTTCACCCCTACCCTTGTGTTTTCCAGGGAAATTCTCTGCTGTGTATGCCCAATGTGCTCAAGCTGTACTTGGAGAATGGACAGACCAAAGCTTTCAAGTTTGAAGCAGACACCACTGTGAAGGTATTAAGAGTAAACTTGAATCTCTTCCCCAGTGAGAATTTGCTGGCTCCTGGGATCCCCTGCATCTTGCCCTGCGGCTGCCTTGGTGGTCTCACAACCACCATAGTCTGAGCACCTGCAAGAAGCCAAGCACTGTGTTATCTCATTAGTTGTACAACCACCCAGCAAGATTTCATCACCATCTTGCAGGGGAGGAAATCAGGGCTCAGAGAGGTGAAGTGACTTGCGTTCACCCTTAACCACTGGACTTCCCTGCCTCTTGCATGTGATCCCCCCCATCTGCTACCCAAAAGATAAAGCAGCTCAAAACCCAGATGAAATGTCAGGGCAGGCCCAGGCCTCTGCATATTCTGTCCTGAGTTGAAATCAGTTTCACTTACATTTAACACGTTCCCCCTACAAGATGCTCTGGGCAGAGGGTGAGGTAGAGAGTGAGGTAAAGGGTGGGCACTGTATTCCAGGAGCTTACTGCCTACTTGAGGGAGAAAGGACATTCAAGGAGCGCCCAGTAGTCGAGGGCAGGATGAAATAAGGGCTGTAAGGAGAGGGACAAAGAAGTGCTCTGTGTAGAGGTAAGAGTCCACCTGTTCCATCCGGTCAGGACAGCAGAGAAGGCTTTGGGAAGAAGGTGGACCTGAGCTGAGCTTTGAAGGGCAACTAAGAATTCAACAAGGGCAGGTGGGAATGGGCTGCTGGGGGGTAGGGCTGGAGGGGGCACATCAGTCTCAGGGAGTCACGTTAACTGATGCAGAGAGCCAGTCAGATGAGCACTGCCCCGTTTGGGGTATTACGTTCTCAGCGAGTTTAGTGGATGAGAGGCAATAAGCAAGAAACCAAATCTAGTGTGTTTGAACACTTGCCATCTGCCAGGTACTGCTCTACGTGCCCTATATGGGAAATTAATTTAATGTACACAACAACCCTATGAGATAGTGTTAACATTGTTATTATTTTACAGACCAAAAAAAGAATGAGGCATAAAGAGAGTAAGCAGTTTATCCCGGGACATACAGCTAGTAAGTGGTAGTCTAGTTGTAGAACCCATTCACTTAATTTTAATATACTGTCTCTCACTGAAGAACATAGCTTAGCCCTGGCCAGTTTTGGCTCAGTGGATAGAGCGTCGGCCTGCAGACCTAAGGGTCCCAGGTTCAATTCCGGTCAGGGGCACATGCCTGGGTTGCGGGCTCGGTCCAACGTGCAGGGGGCAGCCAATCAATGATTCCCTCTCATCATTGATGTTCCTAGCTCCCTCTCCCTTCCTCTATGAAATCAATAATAATAAAAAAAAGAACATAGCTTATGTTGAAGAAAATAATATTAAATAGCGATGAGGGAAATAAACAGGACCCTAGGACGGAAAGTGGCAGGGCAATCAGATTTAGATACAGTGACCAGAGAAGGCCTCTCTGAAGAGAAAGAAGCAGCCTTGTGAACAGCAATGGGGGGAGTGTGCCCGGCAGCGGGAACAGCACGTGTGAATGCCTTGAGGCAGCAGAGACCTGGTGATGGCCCGGGGCCGCTGTGGCATAGCAACTCTATCTGCACAGTATGAATTATCCCATCCAATCAGCAACTCTAAATAGGCATCACTGTCCTCCATTTCTCAGGAAGAAACAGGTTCAGAAGCACCTGGTTAATTTCTCACAGCTGCGGAGCAGGTGGGTGCTGGGGTTCAATCTGGTAGGCAGTTGAAGATGCAGACTCCAGAGAGAAGATGAATCCGCTGACCTTAAAGGGAGGCATCAGCCCCCAGGGGTGGCTGTAGTCTTCCAAGTAAAGCAAGAGAGGAGAGCTGTATGGGCGGCCTGAGGAGGGGGTGCAGCGCCAGGAAGGGCATGAGAAGTCTCCTGGGTGTCCTGTCAAGATTCAACTGCCTGCGCTGGCAGTGGACCCAGTGAGCACCCGCCTTGCTCTCCCCAGCTGCACCGAGGAGCAGAGAGAAGGCCAGGGAAGTCCTCCCTGTTCTGGGCCTGAGCCTGAGGGCCAGCCTGCTCCTCAGGTGACCCCCATGCCTCTCTGTGTGGCAGGACATCATCCTCACGGTGAAGGAGAAGCTGTCGATCCGATGTACGGAGTACTTTGCGCTGGTCCTGGAAGAGCAGTACAACGTCTCACGGCTGCACCTGCTGCATGAGGAGGAGCTCATCCAGCAGGTACGACCTGCTCCTGCTCCTGCTCCTGCTCCTGCTCCTGGTGAGGAGATCCGGGCTGGGTAGGCTGTGTGCCTCAGCCAGGACCTTGGGGCACAGGGCTCAGCACATCGGCAGGTTTGAGGCACTTTCTTGTGCCAAGAAGGCACAGTCATTCCGCCTGGAGGTAACAGGACTAGAGTCAGGCCTGATTTTCCCATGAGGCCCCATTTTGCAGATGTGGAAACAGAGGCTTAGAGAGGTAAGGTGACCTACTCAAGGTAACACAGCCAGTCGAGCCCCATCTTTTGCTTCGGCTCGGATGAACTTCCCCTGAGCGTGCTGCCTCTGAGATGTCAGGGAAGCATTTGTTGCTGTGTCTAAACCCTTTTTGTGAGACTTCCCCCAGTGCTGGTCCCGAGGGCAGGACAGAACAAACAGTCCCTCTGCACCACGCAGTCTTTTGGCCATTCAGTGATTTGCTGTACCAACTTTTTAAAGCCAACACAGGTCAGTTCAACAAATCCTTGCTGAGTGTGTCCTCTTACAAAGAGGAGTAGGATCTCCACAATTGGAAAAGGAGAAGGGGCTTTTTAAGCAGGGCAACAGCATGAGCAAGGCATGACCTCGTGCAAGCCACTCTCAGCGTTCCTCATTGCAGATGGAATCTGACTCTACTCACCCTCCTCTCATTACTGGTGCTTGCACACATTTTTTTAAAAATCATTTCTGGCCCTAGCCGGTTTGGCTCAGTGGATAGAGCGTCAGCCTGCAGACTGAAGGGTCCCGGGTTCGATTCCGGTCAAGGGCATGTACCTTAGTTATGGGCACATCCCCAGTAGGGGGTGTGCAGGAGGCAGCTGATCGATGTTTCTCTTTCATCGATGTTTCTAACTCTCTATCCCTCTCCCTTCCTCTCTGTAAAAAATCAATAAAATATATATTTTTTAAAAAATCATTTCTGTTCTATTAGCATTGGAAAAGAGAAACACATTAAATCCCTAAGATAGTTTAAGTGGGGAAAAAAGGTACAGAATATATATAATGTAGACTATATTATTATTTGTAGGAAAGAAAGCATGAATAGGAGCATGTATGATATTTATACATAGACTGTTTCTGGAAGGGCTTATAAGAAACTGGAGATTTCTTTCCAAAAATTTCCTATGGAAAGGGGAATAGGTTAACGGAGTCAGTGGGAAACTTTGCTCTTTTGAGCCTTTTACATTTTATACTCCTGGGAAAGTCAAATTAGGAGCAAAGGCCTGCGCTGCCTTGGGAAACACTAAATTGAAATCTCTGGGAACTGTCTTTCATTGTCTTTTTTTTTAGGTTTTTTTGTTGTTGTTGTTTTTTAGGGTTTTTTTGTGTGGAATAATTGCAGGAACAAAGGCAGCTAAGATTAATAGTATCTCCCTTCCCCATCGCAGGTGGTGGAAAAGGAAGAGTTACAAGACTACCGCTGCCTCTTCAGGGTGTGTTTTGTTCCCAAGGACCCCCTGGACCTCCTGAAAGAAGACCCCGTGGCCTTTGAATACCTCTATCTGCAGGTGACTGGGTCTGCACTTCCTAAAATAACAGTGGTCGTTCTCAAAGATGAAATTGGGTGGTTTTTTTAAATTAAATTTTTATTGTCGACACTGTTGCAGGTGTTCCCTATTTCCCGCCCCCCTGTGCCCGCCTCCATGCTGTCCCCGCCCCCCTCCCCAGGCCTTCACCACACTGTAGTTTGTGTCCATGGGCTATGCATGTATGTTCATTAGCTAATCCCTTCACCTTCCTTTAACCAGTCCCCCCAGCCTCTCTCCCCTCTGACCTCTGTCAGTCTGTTCAATGTATCGATGCCTCTGGCTCTATTTTGTTCATCATTTTATTTTGTTCATTAGATTCCAAATACTAGTGAGGTCGTATGGTATTTGTCTTTCTCTGCCCGGCTTATTTTGCTTAGATGGACCTAGAGATTGGGTTATTTTGAACATGAGCTCAAGGCAATTAAGCAACTCCCTGGTGTAGATTATCTTTATCTGAAGGAGAATGGGCCCTGAATATCCCTTACAATTCCCTTTTCCATCACGGAGTTGCGATCTTCGGAGATTAGTGATGTATTAATGAAATTTAGGCTGTCCTCAGTGTAGATGCTACATTTCCTAACGCCATTTAAGATCTTTAGAGTTACAGTTTTTATTGCTAAAAGAGGCT